TATGAATCTTTATCCTTACTGAAATATGTGTTCCTCAATAAGGACCTCTCTAGAATTATCTTGCAGAGTGTTCTGGAATACTCTATTACTATTAAGAAGTTGAATTCTCATCTCCAATTATTTTATTTTCTTTACCTGAACTTAAGACCTTCAGAATTGGATTTGGTACTTTGCCAAATTTGGTCGATTATATTTTAATATTACTGACCTTTAAAATTCAGCTCAGAAGACCTTTGGGTTATGGTAGACACATTCATTAAGAAAATATTTAATCCCTTTCAATGCATTTTCCAAGAGAGGACATCACTTTTACCATCAGACTGCTTTTCTAAATTGTTTTTTTAGTGACACAAATTAGGTTGCTCTATTAGGGCAAAAGTGGAGTGGAGAGACTAAGAACAAGTACCCTGATAGGACTTTTAATTTTTATTAGCCCCAATTTGAGAATTGTATCAGTTCTAAAGATCCTGAATAGGGGTGACCGCTATTTAATTTTAATCACACTTTAGGATTAGAATAGGTGACGGGTTAAACCATTCCATAACAAAGAAAAGTAATGCTTCATATGAAAGTTTTTATATGGAAGGGGACTCTTGAACACATATGCTCTATATAGAGTATTTTACCAAAAGTTTATACAAAATAGTGCATCTACACTGCACAGTTCTTGCACAAGAAGTTAAGGAAGTGCTCCCTGGATTGTGTTTCTGTACAGTTCACTTTGAGCTATTTTAATAAAGGTAGGAAGTAAATGTTCCAAAATGGCAGATATTCAGACCGTACCCTGTGTCTGGCTTTATGATGGCTCATGCCCTTCTCTTGGCTAAAAATTTGTTTAGGCTAAATATAACTTGTACCTGAAGCAATCTGGACAATGTGGCTTCAAATGGAAAGTAACTGAAGAAATCCTGGATTCTAAACTTGCCAAAAATATTCTTAGATTGGTCAAAAGCTTTACAGGATTGTTACAGATGATCTAAAATGGAAATAACATCAACATTTCTTCTTGTCAGCAGTTATGTAGTTTTATAACTTACGTACAACTTCCTATTTCTTGTTTGGAAAATTAGCCAACTAGTTTCAGTTTCTATGTTTGAAAGTACTGACTGAAATTTTAACTGACAAATTCTTGTTGGGAGGG